AATATTTCTAAATCTGTGAGCTAGTTTCTTAAAGACTGAACATTTTGATACATAGAAATTATACATATTTGTTTTGGTGTGTTGTGAGCTTTCCTGTTAAGTGCAGTTGCTACAGGTCGTAGGTGGGAGGTGGTCTGCCGTTGCAACGAAAGTTGTACGTTCGCTGAGGATTTTTACTAGGAGAAGTAGGAGCAGGTGTAATTTATTATTTATTTATTTATTTATTTATTTATTTATTTATTTATTTATTTATTTATTTATTTATTTATTTATTTACGTGAAAAACAGTTAAAAACTGTGTGTGACGTGCTGTGGGGAGATGTTAATTTAAAGTTACATATATGTCCAGAAGCAAAACAAGGGGCCATCTCAGCATTTGCACGAGGGAAACTGCACGAAAAACTGATCGAGATGAGGTCATTAACCCAGAAGCTGAAGTACAATATTTGTTACAAGTTCTTTACAATTATACAATCCAAATGATATATAAAACATTAAATGTCATTGTTAAAATTAATATTACTTTCCTTTTGGATGCTCAGTATAGTGTCTAATTGAATAGAAACAGTTGTGCAGCAGAAAAGATTTTACTTGGGACTTAAACTTTTCTATCAAATTTAATCGTTTAATGTCATCTGACAATGTGATGTAAACTAATGTACATGTATTATATGAGAATTAGTAGTGAGCTGTTGATACTGTCACCTGTTGAATATGATTATTATGACGAGTGTTGGGGTTATAGACATCGGTGTTTGCTGAAAATATAATCAAGCCCTTAAGTAAGTCATATTTTACATAAACTACTGATTCATATATTAAGAGACAAGGTAATGGTAAAATACCTAGATTAATAAAGAGAAGCTTACAAGAATCACGTGGGCGGGATTTGCTTATTATTCGTACAATTCGTTTTTGGCAGTGTGGAGGCTGAGTGAATTTGATAGAATTCTGAACGCATAGCATAACGAACTTAATTTAGTGTTCAATTCATTTAAATGGACCATTTTAGGTTTGACTGAATTGAAAGACCTAAAAATGTTGTTACCTTAACATCAGTCAATGGCACGTCGTTCATTTGTAGTGAAGTGCCGAGCTGTTTCATTGAAATGGAGGACTGCATTGAAACAGTTTTTTTTCTTTTACTATTAATTTGTTATTACGGAACCAATTTGAAATATATGATATTGTACTATTTACGGTTTCTCTATTGCAAAGAATATTCGTATCATCCGCAAAGATAACTATTCTTCCGTTTCTTCGTCTATTATATATCTATTAGTACTATAAGTGGCCTGCGGTGTAGTACGTTTATTATATTTTACGAATGGATGGATAGAAACTTTTTCACATTATATCGCTGATGTATAATTTTGTAGTAAAGAAGAAGAGACAAGGATTTTTAACACAAACCTTTAGGACTGAATATTTGATAACTTTTGAGGAGTGACCTGAACAAACGTACTACACAGTGGAAATACATAAACACAGTGGAAACATGTTAATTGATCGTCCCGCAATAGCTTTTCGTTTTGCATTTATCTTGGCAAGAACTTTAGTTTTCAGCTGACCTCCCTCGAGCTCCGAGAAAACAATTTATAAATCTGTACAAGTTGGGAGCATAATAGTCTTCGCTGCTCTTGCACCTAGAGGTCCCAGAGGAGAATATCTTTAGGAATATCGAAGGTGCATGCTAACAACGTAGTATTTTATCCACTGTAGTACATTTTCGAAATTCCTACTGATTATTGCCCGTGAAATATCTACTAAGTAAATAGTTGATACGTGACATTAATTTATGTTCCCCTCCTTTCCCCCACCTATTCACTCCATTTACTATAATGCCAGTGGTAGAGAAAAACGAGCTTGGGAGACAATTTGAAGCTATGATGAGAGCCAATTTGAAGTTATCCTTGAAATTTTACTTCCTGGTGTATTGTCGAAATACTTAAAATGAATGATAATTTATAGTAAGAGTTGTATTTAGCCAGCTGAACAATCATTAATGCCTTTTAGTCGCATAATCAATGACATCATAGACATTAAAGAGTAAATAGAAGTTATATTTCTCTTGAAACACATCTAAACCTGTACACATGTATTTCCTTAAAGTCAGTATTTCATACGAATTTTCATTGTAAATATGTCTTGGTAGATGGATAACTTTCCATTGATTATTTATATATTGTCATTTCTTGGTTTAAGTTTCCAAAAACCGAGTTGCCGGGGCAATAAATCACAGACGTGAACGGTTTGTAATTTATTGAGTATTTATTTGAAATATGCTCCAACTACTATACCACGAATACTATGTACAATACTTACAATAAACAATATTGACCCGTTACTAGATGGAATGTTCCTGGTCACCACCACCGCTGGCCTGATAATTAGATATCTTATTCGGTGTGATTCACCAGTAGCCTACGTGAGCATACAAGCGAGTATGCCGCACCTCCCGTCTCGACGTAGCACGGCGGCTTCAGTTCCCTGCCTCAGTAACCTATGCATTGAAATGCAGGGCCGCGCACAACCCACACGACTTCCTACCGACGCGCCCAAGAATCAGAAGAAGGAGTTTAGGTCTGGGGTCCGTTTATATTACCTTCTGGGTCGGCTGACGGAACTGCGTCATCTCGCTGTTTCCGCCGATGCGTTTCCACAGCTAGCCTGTATACGGGGTTCACAAGTTTGCCCCAAGTGGTTTACGGGTTTCACAAGTAGCCACCCACGACACGGCACCCCTTCCCTTCAGCTCCCTAGGTTTGCCATTGTTCAGCCCGGCGTCTCTTCCCGCCAGCGCCGTCCATGAGAATGAAATGCATGTGGCTAATATTTTGTCACGTTTATACAAGGCGACTGGTATGACGCCACAAGAGGTTTCCAGTCTTTCCTGGACCACCGCCCCCTGTAGAAGAAACAACCAATTGGGTCTACTAAATGCCATTCTTGGGTTGTATTCAATTTCATGGAATGTAACATTTTCCATGCCTCTCTGGATTTGGTTTTACCAATGCACTTGTCTAATCTGTCACATTTTTGTTCCCAGTATACATTTTTTGCCTTCTTCACTTCTTTCTTGACCAATTATTTCATTCTGTTATATTCACTTCTGTCTTCTAAATCCTTTGCGGAAAGCCAACTCAAATATAACTTTTTCTTTTCTTCGACCTGGTTCTTTATATCTTCTGTCCACTACATTCTCTCTTTTTGTTTATATTCACATTTTCCCTCCTCTCCCAAAGCTTCTTTAGCGGCTTCATGAGTGCATTTTTCTGAAACTTTGGTATTTTTCTTCAGTATTTCCTATTGGGATGTACTTTAATTTTTCTGCCATGCGCAATTTGTTCAAAAATGCAATGGAATCATCTTGAAGACTCTTAATATTGTATTTCGGCCACATCTGACTCTATTTTTCCACCTTTTGTACTTCGTTTTGTTTCCGTAGCTTTTGAACGGTTTATACAAAAGGTAAGCTTTTCCTTTTAGTAGGTAGTGATCTGATCCACAGGAAGCACCTCTTTGAAACCGCAACATCGCTCCACTTTATTGATGACTGTTGTTTAGTAATTGAACTTTTTCTAATAACTTGCTACTGTTAGGTTAATGGTCCTGTATTTGTGAGTATTGCGACTAGCGGTTCCTAGCACAAGTTAGGATTTAGTTTTCAAAATAGTTATTTGCGTATTTGCTTCTGCCGTGATTCTTATCTTGGTTCGTCAGTCCTGTGCCATTGTTACTTCTTTACCAGACTCCTCGTAGAATGTTCAGATGCCTGGAAACTCTCAAGATGAAAACCATGAATAAAGTTGCGTAATGTGCCAGGCTACAAAAGGGAGTGCATTTTGAATTTGTTTATGCTCCGAACTGACTCCTTACACATTTTTTCTTATCCTTTCTTCAAATAAATATTTGTTGTGTGTTTCCAATAGTAATTAACATTTAGCTCGAATGAAGATTTATAAGCAAGGTCATGTTTATGGGCGTTACTTCCGAGAATGAAATGAACACCATTTCTTCACTGATTAAGGTTACACCTCCTCCTGTTTGCTTTGTTTTAAGCGTTACCACTGGTCTCTGACTTTCCTTTTAAATATCTGTGTAACATACATTTTTCGATCTAAATTAGCCTAAACTAATTCTCAAGATTACCTTAGTTTACTTTGCAATATTATTTTTTAACTAATATGAGTAGTTATATTATTTTTAACTATAATGAGAGTAATTTCCTCATGAAAATTCATGATTTCTCTATACATACAAGATTAGTAGAAGGGTAAATAAGTCTTACAAGAATTATATTTTAATGAACAGTATAGTTAGGTGTGAAAAAATAACTGTGATATGCTAACCTTTAAAAATCTTTCGGAAAGTTGAGCTCGCAGTTCACTCAGAATGTTGCGGCACTCACCAATATTTTGGATCTTAATTGAGATATGTTAAGGCCTACATTAATTTTCTTACAAATCAAAAATAGAGGGGCATTTATCACGACAATTTTCTCTATTGTCGTCACTTTTTGAAGTGAAAGTCCTGGGGGTCTGTGTGCGTAATTATTCCCAAACGAGCTGCTTGCATAAAGTCAATCTAGACTAAATATTCGTGAGGCTCCAGGTCAATGGAAGATTCGCTTTGGATAACACAACTTACAAATACCTATGTTTACACGTATAAAACTCATAATTATATTAAACCGATAATAATTTTCGAAACTAAATTGTTCATGTTTACAGGTTGAGGGAAGTGCTGAAACATTGAAGTGATGAATCAACGCCTGAGTCAACTGCAAGCGGAGTGTTTGTTTGTGTGTGTGTGAAGTTGATCAATACATATATATTGCAGATTCTTGAAATTTTATCAACATCTTTGTACTTTGTATTTTAGGCCAAAGCATTCATTTTAATTCTTTGGGGATTTTAGGGACGCATGGCATACTGATGGCATAATTAAACCATAAAGCAGGCAGTTATTTGGGTAACTAATACTCTCTGGTGATACAGGTCTACACAATACTAATTCGACTGCCGCCGGATTCATCTAGTTGTGATGGTAACGGAAGTTCTGATCAACCTTCAATCAAGATGATTGCGGACGATGCACCTTCTAGTTCCCTGGTGACTCCCATTCGCGGGGCTGCCGGAGCCAGTGCTGCTCAGCGCCTAGTGGGACGAGTCGACAGCACCACTTCGATGGGCATGGAATACAATCTGAGTCTTCATCCTGCGGGCGGTTATCCAGTCTCACCCGCCATCAACCGGCGGCCATCTCAGATGCCTGATATACGTATTCCCCTCAATGCCAAAATCATTCCTAAACAGTTAGCTGGAGGGCCGAAGGCTCTTGTTGCGAATGCTGGTCCCAAAATGCAACAACACCAACAGAAGAAGAAGAAGAAAACGCAGGAGAAAAAAGCAGACAAGAAAGCTGCCAAAACATTATCTGCAATTCTTCTGACATTTATAATCACGTGGACACCGTATAATATCTTAGTACTTCTGAAGCCCTTAACAGCATGTACAGGTTGCATACCTCAAGAGCTGTGGGACTTCTTTTACTATTTGTGTTACATTAACAGCACAATAAATCCTATGTGTTATGCTTTATGCAATGCATCGTTTCGACGCACATATGTGCGAATTCTTACTTGTAAATGGCACAATCGAAACCGCAGTGCTGTGAATCGAGGATATTACAACTGATAATAAAATAAAGCATTGAGTGTTTTTAGATTGAACTATGGTTCATGTCACATTGCAAGTCATAAACTATGAAATGTGTACTGTATATCTGAAGAAATCTAAAACTCAAATAATTCTTAAACAATTATTTTTTTATTATTAAAAGTGAAGTTTTAAAAATGGGTGAACTATAAAATTATTTTATTTGTATTACTTTGTTATTATATTTAATTTTTTGTTTCAAAACAATTAAATAGTGAATTATTTTAAAAATATTGTAAAAGTAAAACTTATTGTGCTTTTGTAGTTGTGACATCTGATAAGTATAGTGTGCTGACTGTTTTACAAGTAATGGCATAATCCATCGAAATACAAGTGGAAATTCATTTATTTATATTTTCATTTGTTTTTAGTATCTAATCTTGACTCGCTAATTTATACAAGATTTGTCCATGAATTAAGTTTTTCCATTAGTCCTTTTTTTTGCATGAAAAATGTAGCTTCTGGCAAGACTTTATTTAATTGCTTTTTGATTTATTCTTTGCTATGCATTCATTAAATTATTCTTTTTATTTATCTTTTTCTCTTTTATCATTTTATTACAAATATCAGAGAATCAGATCATCCCTTGTTATTTATTAACATTAATGCATTTAAGCAGATTTCTGGGATGCATTAAAAACGAAAATTCAGCTTTAAATAAAGCATATTCATGTTTTCATGTTATAGTGCATTAAATAAACTGATTCAATTTACATATGCTACTCATTATTACAATATTTAATTAGATTTTATGAAAAACTGCATGAAAAAGGAAGATATATTTCAAGTATGGTAAGCAATTAAATCTTGAACATTCACCCTGATCTTCAAAGCCATTTCTTTCATTGTCAATGAACCCAGAAATGTCAAGCAATTCTGGCATTTACTTTTAACCTGAAGATATACATGTAAACATTGTATGTGTCTGTGTTGTTAGCTAAGATTTACAGTATTATAAAATCTCTAAGTAAAAGACCAAATGTGACAAAAATCTGAAGGCAATAGCCAGTAAATGGACTCACAAATTACTTCACGCTCAAAGATAAAATAATCATCATTTTAATGTAAACAAAAGTGATATAGTTACACCTTTTTGTTGTGTACAAACACTTCAAATGTGTTTCTTAATATATTTGAAAAAAAATTATTGAAAAAAATAGTTTTGTGAGCCCAATAGGCTGTGTACAAGCAAATTACTATTGAAGGCTTTCAAAAATATATGACGGGTCATATTCTTTACATATAGTTGTTAGAATAAGAAGACGAATATTGAATAACCATATATGTCCAAATAACCATATTGTATGAGATATGGGATTACTCTAAGTCAGCATAATCAAAGTTGCAAATTGCTTTTTCATCTTTCATTTTAATTAAAATGAAATTAAAATAGCTCTGTTTCATTAAGTCACTGAATGAGAGTACTATCTGCAGATGATAATAAGAATTCTTAACAACTATTCTTAAAACAGCTATGATAAAATGATGTTTTTAAGCTGGAGTTGAAATTAATGCGATGGTCTGAGAGAAAAATGAATGTAACATTTAAAAACTAGAATGTGATTCTGTACTATATATGGAAAATAGGTTCAAAAATTAAATCACAGATCTCTTACATTTCTTAACAACTGAAGAGTCATATAAGATACCATAAGAATGAGCTTAAATTTTCATATTTTCCAAATTTATTTCATAATTTTAGACATATAGTTAAATGAAATAGATGCATTTATTTAATTTTTTCTAGAATTAACCTTATGATAATTTGTCCATCCATATCATCCAGCACATTGGTTCCAGTTTTTTAATGAAAAATTAGTAATATTTCTATCATGAAATTTCCCAAAGCTTTATAGTAAAATTCAAATATGCAAAATCAAAGATCACTTTTTGCAAGAGATTCAAAAGAAGGAATAATACCTGAATTTTTCTGAAATTCTAATATGTATTAAAAGTATTCATTTTTACTTTTTCATAATAATTTTTAATGTGACATTTTAAATTATGCATTTAAGCAGATATTGTGAGGCATTCTGACCAGGGCCAGTTTGAAATGTTTGGAGACTAACTATTACAGAAGTGTAGATTAATGATTCTGTGCCAGTGAAATTTGTACCCATTAAAGTGATCAAAACATACATGACCAAAAATAATGAATATGATTTTTTTCTTTCTCCCCCCCCCCCATTCTATTTAGTTAACAAACATTACATAAAATGGTAATCTTCATTACAAAATTAAATTTGAAATAAGAATAATGGATGTTTATTAGAAATATCATGACTGGTGAACCAACATTTTTGTTTAGGACAAATTGCAATGCAATTACCAGATTTAGTTAATTGTTATTTAATTTATAGTGTTGAATATTTTGATAATTAATAGTTTTTTAAAAGAAAACACACAATGTGTGAACTGGAAATGAGTCTTTCCAATTGCTTAGCCTTCTGCACTGACATCTTCTTCCATCAAGCTGGCCCTGATTTATACTTTTATAGCCATGTTTTATACACAGTTCTTTCAATTTGAATGCAAACAACACTGATATTTTTATAGAAAAATGAAGTATTGAGAGAATTTATCAATGATAGGATTTTCAAATGGGATAAATAAATATGTATATATATATCTGTGATAAAAAGCATACAAATCATGATTTTATACAATATTTTGAATTGAATGATCCTAAGGCTGTTGAAGAAATGTTCAATATAAATTTAATATAATAATCTTTGTATTTCAAGAAGATTAGTGAAACAGAGCTATTGTAGTGATTGACAACTAATAAAGAAAATGAAAGTGTTAATACGAAAAAAATATTTGGCTCTTTATCAGTGTTTTTATAACTAGTTGCACATTAAAATACTTTAATGAAAGTATCAACATTCAAGAAATGTACATATAAATTTCCAAAGAAATATGAGAAATGAAAAGCTAATTTTTTGGCATTGTTATGCACTTTGAATTTTCCCTCTTCTCAAATATGTTTATATTTTGTCTAGTGTTGAACTGGATGTGTCTTACCATAAGTTAGGTGTTCCTTGAAGCATATTATGTATGCCCAACTTTTAAGAGAATATGTATGAATGTTTTTATATTAATGTGGTTGGAAAGGGCATAATAGAATTGCTTACATAGGATGTCTCTCAGCTTTTGCTATTTCAGAAATACAGTATTCGTATATTCAATTGTATTCAGTAATGGTAAACTTTTCAGAAATCAGATGGGCTAGAACAGAATAATTGAGAAAGATTATTCTTTTTACAGTGTGTGTCAATGTAAATAATTTCAAATTGTCAACTTTGATATTTTTCCACCAATTTGTTCATTAGAAACTATGGATTTCTAAATAGGACACACCACTATCAATCCATCAAAATGTATATTTGATTTATACAGAAAATTCTCTTCATTGAAATTGGAATGGAATTAATTTTTCAGAACTCTCTGTACAGAACTTTTCAATATTAACTTATTTGAACAGGGTACAACACATAAAGGGAGGAAAACCTTTCCTTTCTGGTTATACAGCACTTTAAAATGTCCTTCAAATAATTGTGGAATTGTTATTACCATTAAACGTGGTCATTAATACTTGAATACATACCATTAGAGAAAATACCTTTTTTTAATTTAACAATGTTAGACTACCTATTCCAAAAGTATTCTTATGATTACAATTATTTTCATCAATTTAAGGTTAATGCATTATGATAGAAAAATTATTCATTAAGTACAATCATCCTTTTATTTTAAATGTTCATTGTTCATGAAACTCATTGAGTTCTTGTATTATTCCAGCTCTTCTGTTTTCTGAGTGAAACTCTATCAATAAATATGTTCTTGTTCGTCATTTAGCAACAGAGAATATTCAAAAGAATACCTTCCAGAAAACCTAGCCCATCATTATGAAATGAAATGTGGTATAGTTAAGAAGTTTCCTGCAATTGGACTTATAATTTATCCAAAAATCAATGTAATTACTCATGAGCAAAAAACATCTAAGTGTTCAGCTACAAATAAAACATTAGTCCCAAGTAAATTAAGCAAATCTTGCTGCCCCTCTTCTAATAACTATTCTCTTCAGTTAATATGAAAGAGAAGCTCAAGATAAATCATTCCGTGTTGCATTTTATTAGACATTAATGATTAGAATTATAATGATAATTTGATAAAATATATTATTTTTGTTACATTTGGAAAATGGATTTATATTTAGAATGAATATTACTATTAAAATAATAATTGTGATAAATTAAAATATAAAATTTTTCAAAGTATTAGTTATTACAAGTTGAATATTTAAAAGATTAATAAGAAAGTATTATTTATGCAAATCTTAATGCTCATAGTCTTCTTTTAAATGAATCATGCCATTTCTGTTGAAATAATTAATTTATCTAAAGAAATGTACATTGATATTAATTTATATTTGTGGGCATAATTCATTAATTAAAATTTCTTTGATGACAGTAATTGAAGAAAAGATAAATTGATGAAAGAAAATTACACTATTGGCAAATGACATTCTGTAAATGTCAATATTACAAGTGTCATTCTGTAAGTGTCAAATATTACAAGATGTTATATAACTTGTAATATTTCTTTAAGGTAATTGTTGAGTCAACATAATTATTAGTTTCAAAATAAATCATAATTATGTAAACTTATTATGTATAACTATTATGTAAACTTTCTTCTACACACAGTCAGTTTGAATTTGAAATAAAAAATTTAACATTTGAGATAATAACTATGATAAATGTTATTTTAAAAAATACTTTTTTAGAGAAAATATCAAAAAATGTGAAAATTCAATGATTTTAGTGCTTACATAACATGCAGACAACTCCATAATAGTCATACAACATGTTTTAATTATAATTATGGGTTGTAAGTGGTACAATATTTTAAACCACACCGCAGATATAAAAGATATTTTTTGGCACTGAAGGATATTTTTTTTAAAATAACATTTAACATAACACAACTAAACATTCAGATAGAGTTACTTCAAAATAGTACATACATTTTAATTTTTATTACAATATTTTCGGAACACATAAAGAAACTAGATAATTCAGTATAAATGAGCTAATGACAATACAAGGGATATGTTAAAAAACAATAACAAAGCTAGAAGACAAGTTAATTGTTCATAGATTTGTGTATTTATACCTCTGAAAAACATTAGCCACACTGACTAATATTATTTTATGTTATATTATCTTATGTTATGTATGGGTTTTTACATTGAGTAATATGAAATTTAAAATCTAATTCTTATGTATTGAAGATGCTCAATACTCAACCAAATTGTATGTTCAGTATTTTTCCTTTTTGATGCAGTTGTACCTGTCCTATGTTGTCATATATCATGAGAAAAATTAAAATTATGAAGAAATGTTAATCAAAGTATGTGTGACAAAGTGTTAAAATTTATTAAACCTTGTTGTAAGATCATATCAGAGCTTTATTTATGTTAGTAGTACTTAGAGGCAGTGAATGATATAGGATTGGAAAGAGAGAAATTATTTTTAAGTATGTGTGCCAACCCACTGAGAAAATATGTCACTTAGGCAGAAGTATGATATCTTCCTTAGTTTCCAGCTATAACTGTTGTCATATAGCAGTACTCTTGACAATCTTCCAATGAATGTTCTTGCCTGTCTGAAATATAGCAGTTTCATACTGTAGTTTACTATAACTCCAGAGTATTCTCTAGAATATTTTCATCTATATATTTGGAAAGGATGGAATGAAGTGGTATAGCTTGTTTTGTACTCACTTTTGTGTTGCACCAAAGAAATAATTGAACTTCAATCTAGCTGTTCTATCCCAAAGGTGAGATTCTTGTCATTTTTAGAAAGGTAACAATTTTCATAAAAACTGCAGATAAATGTTTCTGTAATATTTTCAAATACACCTTATGGGTATGTAAACAGAGAGATGTCCACTATTTAAGGTACTGGGAAAATGTTTTCAAATTTCACTGAGGATAATAATTCCCAAACAATAATTGTATTCATAATACTATTATGAAGTGTCATTTACAAGATTTCTGTACTTAATTTAGAAAATGACAAAATAAAATTGATTCATTTTAATGTATTCCCTTGAAGCAAACAGAAAAAGAAAAAGGGTTTGAAATTGAAAAACTCATGGTGTTCAATTTTCATAATACCATAATGGAAAAAATATCTCTATTTACATGCTCTTTGTCAAGAAAAAGCATTTATATGCTCCTCTGTATTTTTCAAAGAAAGATTTTTCTTTTTTAATGTTTTTAAATGTGTGAAAGAAACATGTTCTTAAATTGTACAGGTACATGAAACAAATGTTTTGAGTATTAATTTTCAGATTTTTGCACTCACACAGTGTTGTGCTCAGCTATTATTATAACTGCCATCTTCCCCACCCATGATACTGTATAAATATGAAATTTGCATATATTTGAGTGTAAGAATACTCTTTGTGTGGAATTATTTGTATATTTCATCACTGGAAATTAGAATTTTAGATTCATAATTGCCCAGAAATTATTTGTCATATGTGTGAATTTATCATGGCACATTAACAAGGTTCCATTTTTAATGATTCACAGCAGAGTCTTATAACTGGACCTACTACATTTGTGCAGATTTTTCTACAAATACTGTAATGACTATTGCATATATATTTTTTAATTATGTGAGTGAAAATATGAATTGAAAATGTCTGCCATTTGAACACTTATCATCTACTTTCCAACAAAGGCCTAAACATGACTGTTCTCCACTTAATGAAGAATTGTTTCATAATCAAATAACAAAAGTGTGCTGGATAAGCAAAATACATCACTTGATATTGGAATCTGTTTTTTGCCCTCCAAATATTGAAGAAGGGTAAATAAGAAAATCTTTTTCTGTCCTTGCTATTTCCCCTCTTTGTCCTTTTGTTTGCCTGAATGAAGGCAATGACATGCAATTGATGAGTTATAGTAACTGCAGTGCTGTATGTTTTTGTCAACTGAATGTATGAAAAATGTGGCATGAGTGTTGTAATCAATTTTATGTGCAGTAGAAAATTGCTGTGTACTATTTTACAAGTTCCTGGGTTTCATGAACAAACTTGGGATATATTTATATGATAGTTCAACATGTACTAAAAAGAGGAAGAATACGCGAAACGACGCACATTAGGTACAACATTTTTGTAAAATTTATTCCATATATAAAAAAGAATAATAAGTTTGTAAAATGATGTTAATAAAAATGTTGTTTTTTAAAAAGAGCTTCTAAAGAAAATCTTATTATAATATTTACATTTATAACATACATGTAACCTTGTGGGAATGTTTGTACACTAGATTGCCTATTAACAATATTCATTTTCATAAACAGGCCTAACTAAACATCCCAGCACACCTTGTAGAATAATTTCAATTTCATCCTATGTTCAACCACAGAATGCCTGAACATAATTTCTCCAAAATTAAATAAACACATGATGTCTTAATGAAATATTTAATTTAATTATATTAAAGATATGTTAGGTTTTCAATTTAGAATATAGATATTCTGACCTTATTAGCTTGGTGTTTTTTGAAAAAGGTTAAATAATGAACACAGAATATGAGTTACGAGTTTCTACTGATCTTCAAGATATCTGGGTTTGTAAATTATTTCATTAGTTGCTTGAATAATGGTGTATGAGTGTAATATCATGTTCTATTACCAAAGCTTCATTTATTTGTAAAATATTATGATAAATTCAAATAGTATGCAAGAATTTTGTCATTGAAAAAATATTAATTTCACTCTAATTTGCTGTGGGGAAAAAAATTATTGTATATAAGTTAAACTAATAATTATGAAGACAATGATTCACAAAGAGTTATGTATGCAAAGAATCAATGCATCTTTCTTCACTATTTTGCTTACATTGAACACAGTACTTTCAAGTATTTTTTTCATCTTATTTTACCCAATTTGTAATGACTTTGCTTTAACTTTAATGTCATTTTAAGTCATTAATGTCATAGCTTATCTCATTTCATCATTTCAACAGTAATTTAAAATTGCAAAGAAAATTATTAATTGAAACATGTGAGTCGACTAATTGTTCTTATTCAATTTATTCAAGCATTCGCTTAAGTCATACTTTTGTAAAACTTATTTTCTCTCCTAAAAATCCATTATTTCTAGTTAGAAAAGAAAAAAAGTAATATACTAATATATTAGTTATTCAAAATGTCATTCCAGTGTTTAATAGTCAAGTATGGCTGGGTTTGAAAGTAATTTGTAGAAAATTTACATTACACATTCAACATTATTGAAATTATTAATTGCTTTGAAAAATTTATTATCAGGGTACAAGTCTTTAACTTTCAAGAAGAAAAAAAATGAAATAAACCAAGAACTTGTAATTCACACTCGATCCTTTTAATTTCTTTTTGTTTTTTTATTTCGTTCGTTCGTTTCTTTCTTTCTTCCTTCCTTCCTTCCTTTCTTTCTTCTTTTTTTTAAGCCGTCTCAAGCATTGAGTGAAAGACTCGATATCGAGATCCTTCCTCAGTACTTTCAACCGTTTTTGAAACGGAGGGCGTGCTATGAGCCGTAGAACTTTGTTCTGTATTATTGACTGAAGAGTACTGAATATTTATAACTATATGTAATGATGTAAGTTTTTACAATATGGAATGATGCAAGTTAGTTATATCATTACATAATATGATGTAAGTACTATCATGATTAGAGACCTTATTTTAATGCAAATACCTTTCAGAAAGTATTTGTGAGGATGAACACTGATAAGTCCATGAAATACCAATTTCCTTTCATTCAACCTGATAGTTTGATGCATATCTTCATATTTTGCTTGTTTTCTTAACCCGCTTCGGTTTCTTAGTTTCCACGGAAGAGCGAGTATTTGTTCTTTCGGTGAGAGAACTGGTTGATTTGGTTCATCTGGTGATGAGGTCAGATTTATGTCTTCTATCGATCTTAGGTCACATCGTATCTGAAAGATGATTTACTCATCCCTACTTTCTTCGCCCGTGAGAAGTCCACCTTCAGAAGGAAAAATCGTGATCCGATCTATCAATATTTTCTTCTAAACACTAATAATTCGTGCTAAGTCAATAAAATTAAATAAATATGTTTTTATTATATTTATAAATTATTTTGTAAGACAATGTTTTAGTAAGTTCAAACTCATGATCGTTACTTCAAAAACACGTAAATGTAAGCGAACGGGAATCCAATGTCACTTGTAGGTGACACTTGGCAATTCAGACGTAGCACTGCACACAAAAACAGCAACTTCATGAAAAATGAATTGTTTAATGTAACATTATAAATAATATGAATTGTTTAAATGATGTTTCATAAAAAAGATAAAAGTTTTCAGAAGTAAAATATACTATCTTGATAATTTTTCCTCGTAAAAAGTAATTATCTCGCACAAGATCACTTTCCGCTAGAACTGCTTCCACAATATTGATAATATTATCGCTCTACTGTGACCAAAGCAAAATATAATGGTCTAATCTCATTATCAAACTGTATTTAATAATCTGCAACAGAAACATCGTTTAAAAGTATAAACTAAGGACCTGTTTTACCGGTGCCTGATAAAATTCCGAATACTAACCCGACATATTTTATCCGTCAGATAAAAGTACCTGATTATTTTGCGCTTCTCCAAGGTCTTTCTAGTTCTAATATCTGACATATCTTTCTGATAAATTATCTGGCCGATTGCTCTTTCACTAGCGGCAACGCCGCTATGTGCGCTCGAATTCGAATGTGTTTTGGTTACGGAAGTGTCAGGGGTTTTTCGCTTCATTCGTTATTTTGTGTTGCAGTTTCCTTCGGCGTGAGCTGTGTGCGAGTTCGGTGTAAAAGTTTTTTTTTTCTTTTTTTTCTTTTTTCGTCGTACTTTTTGTATCCATCGTTGCGGAGAGGAAAGATATTATTAAGGCTAAATGTCCCGACACTAGTACAATTTTTAGCCACCACGTGGCACCACCAAAATAAGTAAAATTTACTTTACTGATAACGTCTGAACCAATGGTCCGATTTTCGATGTGTAAACGGCATTTGACGCCTTTTTAAAATAGAATTTACGCTACGATGTCCTTTTTCCAAAAGTCTGGCAAACACGAGAATTTGAAATTAGTTCTCAAACTTTCGAGTACAAATTAAAAAAATGTGGGCTTATAGCGCGATGGCGACATGCTTCCTGAATCCAACGCCGTGACAATCATGGAAATCGGATGAATAGGAGCGTCGTAAAGTGATATTTACGAAAACACCTCCCCCCTTCCCCTTCTGCGCCGTTACGTCGCCGTTACGTTGTGGGCCCTCTGTCGGCGCGGGGGCATTTGACATTTTTTAAAATTTTCAGATGGATCATGCCAATTAGGCACATGTTAATGAATGTAATGGACACATTGATTCAGTGTGTTGGACAATAAAGATTTGAAGAAAAAAATCATTGATGGTTAAAAAAGAAAAGGATGTTTGTGTTTAATTAATTAATTAAGAAACATTTCAAACAGATACTTCACAAGGCAGTCACTATGTAGAGTAGAACACTACAAAATCGGGTATGGGAACATATGTGCAAACTATTGCTGCGAGAACTCTAGAAAATCTAGCAATTTCATAAACATCTAGGGTGATTTCTGTATTCTTTGGAAGCTTTACGAACTCGCGACACTTCAAGCAGAAGATTGCTCGCCTCAATGAAGACTCAAATTGCGATGAAAAATGAACCTGTTGCAAAATAACGCATAGTGAGAAGTAGGTTCATTGGTGATATCTCAGAATTGCAAACGAAACACAAAGTATGCAATTCATTATTTTGACATGAAATGAATTTAACAAGACCGTTTACTCTACTAGGACATTACAGAAATGTAAGTCGGTATTCACAAATCTTTTATTTTCTGTTCTATCAAAGACCCAGCTTTGCTAGCCGTGGGCTTCCTTAAACTAAAACTGGATTTGCAATCTTGTTCGTCAATGATCTCAAAATATTCTGGCCGACATGTCATCTGGACGGACGCTCTAAGCCATCAAAGAATTCGTCGTCTATCATGTTGTCCATCACGAAAATACTACAGTCATTCCTTGAAAATAACAGCAGGTTTACACACAAATTCTGTTATTTTGGAGTTATCTACCAGATAAACATTTAAGAGCTCTCCAACCTCCAGATTATTTACTGGATGCTTTAACCACTGGATAGAATTATCAGGGACTCGTAAAATCCAAAATTTCAACATATCAGTTAGATAACTTCTGGAATATGCTATCAGACACTTTATCAGGCTCCGGCGAAACAGACCTTAAACAAAAGGAAAGCGAAATTATTGTGTCACCTGCAGATGACATTACGCTTTCACGGGTTAATAAGCATCATATTTCTGCAAATTGCTATTTTTTCTGTTTATTTTGTTTACTCTATTGTTACTCAATTTATTGTATTTACTATGTGTATAAATCTAATTATAATTTTGTAATGATTCTATATACTTCGTGGTTCATTGTAGTTAATATAAAGTTCCTGTAAGAGAATTGAAATTTTCTATTTTTTGAAAATTGCAAAATATGCAAGGGGGACACCTTCCTACATCTATAATATTGAAGATAGATTTTTTCCTTAATGATATCTATTCCTTAAAAACCGATCTTTAAATAAGTTCACGTTCAATTTTTTGAAAATATAAGTAGTTTTCATGTAATTTTCCACGAAGCATTTTTTTTCTCAAAAACAAAGCTCAGAGTCAGCTCGAAGACACACGGGCGCCGGATGGGCGTAATGCGGGCTTGAATGGGCCCGAGACGGCACTCACTCCGAGTCTTATCTAAGAGCCACGTCTTTTCTCCTATAATTTTTCCCTAATAATGTAAGAGTCAAGTCTTTTCTCCTACGATTTCTCCCTAAGAATCTTTTTCTCTACTCAGCTCCCGGCCGAGTTCGCCTCCGTTTTTCTTTCCCGAAAACGTCTCAAGACCCGTTCCTTAGCCCCTTCCCTCACGGAGAGATGTCTCATAGGCCGAAACTATTTGCGTCGCAATTTTTTGTCACCCAATCAGGACGCACTGTTCCTGGAATTTTCCAGGGCAATCTCTCTAATACAAGAAGATTCTTTTGCAGCTGCCCGAACACGTGTTCAGGCGGCTTTGTTTTCGAAAACATAATTCATCGGCGCCATGATCGGCAGCCGGCGACGGATGAGCTCTAAACAATACCTCTGGGACTTCCGGAAGTGTTGTAGGGAGATTCCTTGACAAATGGCCGGCAGGCAGGGCCTGTCTCCGGGCCAAGACGCGGGCGGTCATTGTTTGGCAAAGTGCGCGGGAGCTCCCCGGAGGGGGAGTGGGGATCCTTCCCTGCGGAGCGGCGCCCGCCAAAGGGGTGTGACGGGTGAGCGCCGGGCGGGCGGCTTGTCGTAAATAAGTCTGTTGCGGAAGGCACCCTATTTGGCGGGCGGTCGGGTCAGCTGGCGACGGTTGCGGTGGGGCGGTGAAAAGGACCCTTTGTGTCAGCCCTGTCTTGCGACCTACTTTCTTTCCGTAGAGAAAACTTCCGTTCCTTTTCCGTAGAGAAATCTTAATATAATAAAATTAAAATAATAAAATTTGGTGACGCCGCAATATGTATTTGTTTTTTATTTTATATTTTTCTAGATATTGATGTAACTTTTTTAATGGAACTATACATATTTTTTAGTCTATCATGACGAGGGTAAGAAGACAAATTCAAATACATACACTGAAAAATATCTATCTCCCTCTCCTCCCTCTCTCTCAACCATAACCTACAGTTACGTGCCTTCCAGTTGTGACGATCGATTGAAAATTTGTGATCATTTGTGACGCACTGGTGGTTGATTGTCAATACTTACTAACCCACTGTCGTTTAGACAAATTAATACGTA